TTATGGGCCGTTGGATGGACCATGCATCGTACAGATTGTACTGAGTGGAATCTGTGCGCAAAACTGACATTCGAGTCCCTGGCTCCTAGCTATTTTCCTCCTCGCACCCTTCTTCTTCTTCGAGCCCCCCATAGCGGCAGCACAATCCCCCTCCAAGGCTCCAACCATAACCCTCCGCCGCCCGCCGGCGATGATTGGGAAACCCTAAGGCGCCTCCTCCTCCCCCTTCACACAGTAGCCGCTAATGCCGCCCGCCGCCCGACCGACTGCGAATCCTTTTGCAACGGCGACATAACCACGGCCATGGTGGTGAGTTCCACCACTCCTCAAGCTTTCTTCCCCCTCCTTCACGGAGTGCAGAGTCTCCACACGACTGACTTCCGTGCAGCAATTCCTCTTTCCCCTTTCTTTTTGAGAAGTATTCCTCTCCCTCTCTCTCTCTCTCTCTGTCCCTTGCCCCTCCTCTTCTCTTTCTTGTGTGGCGCATCTGTTCTCCCTCGGATGGCCCCTCTTCTCCCCCCTTGCTTGTTCTCTCATGAAATTCCCGCAAACTGAGCCACCTCTCAAGCTCCAACCACCTTCCTGGATGCACGAAATCTGGTCTCATTGTCCCTATATATATTGCAGATCAATTAGGAGATGTAGACATTTTTTGCGATAAAGTTGTAGAAGAAATTTAAGTGGCAAACCAGATCAGGTTTGAGGTAATGAGCGTCATTCTGGTGTCATGCGTTTGTTGTATGTGCTACTGTTTTTGTACCATTGTTTCGGCATATTTTTGAATCCCTCTCTTTTGTGTGTATTGATTCTGAAGCATGTGTAAGCCTGCTTACTCCATATTTTGATTCTGAAGCATGTGCGAGGCTGCATAATCTGTATTTTTTAACAGTGGATTTATACAGATTCTGACTGTCGCACAGGGAAGACATGTTTGATTTCCTCTGTTCTTTGGGTCCCCATTGTTCCTCAAGCTTTATGCTTACGGAAATATATGTTCTTGTGCTGATGTATTCCTCTGATGGTAGGCATCAGACTAGAGTAGGAACTAAAGTTTAAACTAGATAATATCTCCCTAAGGTTTGGCCTAGAAACGATGATCTCAGTTCTGACTGTAATTTTCGTCTCAAGATCCAGTGATGAAGGGGAGCAGTGCAACGTTGCCTTTAGTAAAGTTGATAGTTCCAATTATCCCAGCATGTGCACCAAAACTATCATGTGAGAACATCGGTCTACGAAAGTAAAGAATATGTTGATGCACCTAACATTCTGTTAATCCAATGTGTGATGTTGTTTGCTAAAAAAATTGTTTGTAGCTTTGGAATTGGTCAACAGTGCTCAAAATCAAGATTAATTCCTCACTGCTTCCCATTGATGATTCCAGTACACCAAAAAAGAAATAGTCATTCTCTCAAGAGGTACACACACTTTTGAAATTTATGTACTTTAATTTCTTATGTTTGTCCATGTTAAATTCCATGACTTCATTCATGTCTCGTAGGAAAGTATACACCCTTATCATGTGTCATGTCCATGCCAAACCATTGGCCTTGCAGTTTGACTGACCTCTTCTTCTTTTTTTGCAAGTAAATTTGACTGACCTCTTTACTATCACTAAAGCAAGTATGCATGTTCCGGATTTATGATTAATTCTTCTTCCATGACACATGCCTTTCTATTATCTTGTTCACTTATATTTCTCATGATGTTGTAGTTTTCTTGTTATTAAAAGGTATAATGTAATGCATACCATCACTAATTTGCATCAACAGTATAGATATAAAAACCCCTTTCTTGTTTGTCGTTGCTACTTATGAAGTTATGCTTTTAGATAGTCGTTGAAACCTGTAATCTGCTGACAGGGTTATATTAAGGAGTGGCTCTGCTAATATTGTTGTTGTCAAACTCATGACCAGTTTTGAGTGATTAAAATGTCCAGTTGCTTCGAGGGTTCAACACATCATTTTATCGTACGATACGCTCTTTTCTTATTTGTACATACAATTGGCTATTCGAAAATGCCAAGGTTTTATAAAGGATGGATTTCTAATAGGACAACTAAATAATTGTATTGCCTAATTCTGCCGGTTGTGGCGAATCTCTAGAATGCACTAGAGTGGTTTTTCCTGTACAAGATAAATAATGTTTATATAATTTGTTCATTATTGGTAAGTTAGGATTATCCACAACATAGTGGCTTGTCTGTCAGTTTCAGCATAGAAACATACTTTAGGTTGTCTTTGCGATGAATGTGATTTCTTCTCCATTTTTCCTTCCGTGTGGTATGTGCAGGAAACACAGCTAAATGGTATTGTGAATGCATATTTATTTGATCAGCTCATGATTAAAATGTTTTAAGTATGAATGTATGACACATACATGGACTTGCACTAACTGAATCATATTTGTTACGTTCAATCTCTCCCGGGACAAGAAGCTCGATGAACAAGAGGCACTACATCTGGAGGCAACTGTTGTGTGCCAGCAAGATATCAACATTGATGCAGTTTTTAATAGCAATTCTTGTTGAGCGATGATTATTATACCCCTGCAGACTTAGCCTTGCCCGTCATGTACCAAAGCTGATGCAATTTCGCTAACAATGTTTGTTGATCCTGTCATGTTTTTTATAACTTGATATGAATGTCTTCTTTTGTTATGTCCGGGATGTTCCAGTTTGACATGTACTAAACAGATGTGGCGGGGATAGTCCAGTTTGACATGTACTCAAGTATTTGTGTCTGGAATGGTCCATTTTACCATCTTGTACCTGAGATGGTCCAGCTTACACGTATTTACATATAGTGCATGTGCCTGTGAGAGTGTCTTAATTTTTGTCATGTACTCAAATATCTTTGAAAAATGTTGACATACTCTTGAGTGACCATCATGTTCAAGTTTCTTGCATAATTATTTTATATAGTATAACCCACTATTGTACTTAATAGACGTGCAATGGGAAGGAACAGGAATGAACGCTGTGAAAATATGGCAGTCTTACTAGTAAGAACAAAATGTTTGGACAGGAAAAGGTGGAGGTGGTTACTGCAAAAGTCTAGTTTACATCTTACTACCAGTAAGGGGGTTTTCATAAAATGTACATTAAGTGGCCTAGGATGCCTCCACTTGAATCTGTACCATTCACGCTGGATCCGACGGCTCAGATTCGTTTTTCTATTTTTGCACTACAAGTTGTGCTTTTATTGTAGTCGCTCCCACTTCATGTTATCCTTTGAGCTACTCACTTTAGCGATCACAGTTTGGTTGTCGCGGGTCAAAGGATACCCGGTATAGGTTTCTCAACAATCGGCAAGTCATTCAAGAGCCGACGAAGCCAATCTGCTTCGACTGTAGCTGTATCTAGTGATGTGAGTTCTGCTTTCATTGTTGACCTCGTTAGAATGGTCTGCTTGCAAGACTTCCAAGAAACAACGTCACCTCCATGAGTGAATACATATCCGCTCGTGGCCTTTATCTCATCAGCATCAGAGATCCAGTTTAAATCACTATACCCTTCCAGTACATTTGGGTACCCAGTGTAGCGAATTCCATAACTCGCAGTGCCTTTCAAGTAACGCAGAACTCTCTCTAGAACTTTCCAATGCACATCTCCTGGTTTTGAGACAAACCGGCTCAGTTTGCTAACAGCAAAAAAGATGTCAGGTCTTGTAGCACTGGTTAAGTACATAAGCGAGCCAATAATCTGAGAATATTTCAATTGATATCTAGCAATTCTTCGATTCTTTCAAAGCAACACGCTAGCATCATATGGTGTTGGAGAGGGCTTGCAGTCGCTATAGCCAAAGCGACTCAAGATCTTTTCCACATAGTGAGATTGAAACAATGTAATCTCATCATCATCGTCTCTCAACCGCTTGATGTTCAGAATAACATTAGCCACTCCTAAATCCTTCATCTCAAAACAATGAGATAGAAAATCCTTGACCTCCTTAATAACATTAAGATTTATTTCAAAAATCAGTATGGCATCAACATACAAGCAAAGGATAACTCCCTCGCCCCCATCTTGGCGATAGTACACATTTTATCAGCTTCGTTTACAACAAAGCCTGCAGCTGTTAAAGTTCTTTTAAACTTCTCATGCCACTTCTTGGATGCTTGCTTAAGTCCACATAAAGACTTCGACTTGCACACTTTTCCTTCCTGGCCATCTACTACAAATGAAGGAAATATGCTCTAAAGACAATAATAAAGTTGTTATTTATATTTCCTTATATCATGATAAATGTTTATTATTCATGCTAGAAACTTGCTTGACGGCTAGGGCTAGTGAATGACGTTTTGGCTCCCGGAAGCGCACGCTCCCCATGAATAGCAAAAATATATATATAGTAAATGTTTTTAAAAAATTCAGATTTTTTTTCTAGATGTTCATGTTAGGGTCACAAGCATCCTTAAAAAAAATATGTGAAACGGAGCTGCGATGTTTTGCCCGTGAAAAAACAAATTGAGGGTGACAATTTGGGATAACATTTGGTGTTTTTTTTCACATGTCAAATTGTTTAATCTTTTTGTCTGTAAATTTGTATGTAGCATTTAGATGTGACAAAGAACACATAGAACTTTTGTTGGAATACTTTTGACATTTCAAATAATATTTTTCACGCGCAGGAGCGCGCACTCCCAAGAGCACCAACAAATTTCCGGTACAAGGAGAGAGAGAGACAAGGAGGACCAACTACATGACCAGCAAAAACTAGCATCTCAGTACGACCAAGATACCAGGTTCAGAACCAGAGTAAACACTAGAGCGAACATAAATGAACCCGCGATTCAACGGATTGAAATGTGTCGAAGGATCAAAAGCTGCTTCAACCAAGTACTGTAGTACTGAGCATAAATGGAACATTTTTCTACTAAATCATCAATGAAGCAACTAAAGACCATATTTGAGGATCACATGAACTCAGGCTAAGACGGCATAAAACACACATAGGAAAACATTCTTATGCTTTAATATTGCAGACGTACAAACTATAAACTTATGGCGCCTTGGCCAGCATAACTTCTCTATATAATTCCAGCGCCTCATCCATGATATTTGCTTTAGATAAAAGCTGTGCTCTTTTCTTCCCCGAAGGATGATATATGTCATTCCCAGCTAGCTTCTCAACGGTCTTAGGGGCTATGTGTGGATCGAAACCAGCAGCAGCCATTATCAGCATTCCCATGCGATCTGCCTCTCTCTCGATCCTACATAGGGAACATCATCAGGAGTGATTCTAACATGAAATGTTCACATAGAAAAGTTAAACATAAAACAAGCTAGAGAACTGTAGATCAAGTAAATGAACTCAGAGGCGACACCCATGAAGGGGATACATTGCATAACAAAGAGTTTGGCTAACCAACCAAGTTCCGATCTAGAATAGACCAGTGACTTTTGTTCCATGTAGATGCCCCAAAAGCTATACAACCTACTCAATTAAACACTACTTGCCTTACAGATGCATCTCTGCCGAAATTAAAACAGTTTATAAAGGAATAAAGGGGCAAGAGAAATTCTGCAACTCGTATAAATTCTTGAATGCATCACATGCAAAATTAGATTTGGGAGAATCGATTTGGCTAGTTAAACTTGGGTATTTGTGTTACTAGCTACATAAATTAGATTTGGATGAATGATTTTGGAGGTTTCAAAGTTAACATGGATTCTTTTTATGAATATATCACTGTATATAGACTACTATGTCAATTAAATTTTCTTTTGGGGTGACATGGCAGCAAAGATACCCCAGTAGATCTGCCTACGAAACTCATCATCGACAATCTGAGATGCAGAAGTGAATATACCTTCGTACGAAGTACACCTTGAGAGGATAAGGAAACCACTTCTTATATATAATTAACTCTGACCAGTGTCTGGCAACCAAATGTGCAATCTACAAAGAGGAGCAATAATGTCAACTTGAATACACCGGGAAAAGACTCAAAAGAAAAATAAACCTATTAATTCAGTAGGCCTACCTCATGTGCAAGAATAGTAGCAATTTCGGCATCAGTCTCCAAATTATTGAGCAATCCAGTGAACACTAAAATTTTGCCATTGGACCATGACACTGCACCCATATGCTTATCATTTTTCATAACAAACACCTCCAAGTCAAGACCATCAAGGTGAGTTATCTGTGGCTGTGATCTGCATGACTTGCCCTGTTTATTGCTCTCAACTGCATGCCTACCATCTAAGCTCGCGTCTTTGCCAGGGGAGCCATGGACCAAGGCCGCATCAGAACCCTTGATATCAAGGCCACGTTGAACGGCGCGAACAAGTTTCGCTGTGATAAGATTGACACGTACACTGTCGGGGTGGAGCGGGCTAAAGAACGTGGATGGGTAATTCCTCTTGAACATAGAAAAACATGACTCGCCATACTCGCGGTCATCTAGAGGAGAGCGAACGACAAAGTGGATCCGGTTGGTATAAGGCACAGTCTCAAAGCGTAAGAAACGAGTTTGGCTGGTGTATGGGACACGAACAAGATAAGTGTGGTAGACAAACGACCACATAATGTTGATAAAAGCTGCAGCCACTGTGACCTTCCACAAACATCCAAAGTAGCTACGAGCAAAATGGATCGCCGATCTCGATGGGGCCACGCAATACTGCCAAGGCCGACATACAACTTGACGAATATGACCGAAGAAGAGTCCTCGGATGGGTCCCAAAATCTGCTGTTGCTGCAATGGAGCACTGAAGTACCACCGAGGAAGAAAGATGCCAGGTGTAATGCCTCGAAAAAGGAGTCTTCGGATAGATTCCATGTCCTTGAATTGCCGTGTGGTGGTGTAGAAACACCTAGGTAGCAGTGCCCCCCGTGCTAACGCAGGCAATCGACTATTGTGAGGCAAAATACGGCTGAAGAGGCGTCGATGAGTTGAGGCCAAGACCTCCCCATGCCATGGCACCGTCCGGTAGGGCCGAGAAAGCAGTGTCGCTTGTGCTAATGCAGGCGGTCGATTAATGTGCTTGATGATGTTGTGGAACAGACGCCCTTGGATCGGACCATGCCATGGGGCGGTGTAGTAGTGCCGAGGAAGCAGCATCGCTTGAGGCAACACAGGCGGTCTACAGCTGTGTTGAAATAAGAGTCCTCTGGTTCTGTCCAAGACCACAGAGGACTGCTCTGGCTGTGGCTGCAGGAGGCGGAAGGCCGTGGGCTTGTAGAGGAACGGAGGCAAGAGGACGGACGGCGAGATTCCCCTGCAGCTCATGTTCTTGGGTTTGAATTTCTACCAGGAAGAATTTTTTAGCACCGGCTTTCGTCTATACAGGGGTTGGATTCGCCAGGATGTATATATGAGCGACGGTGTTGGGCTGTTGGGAACTTGGGATCGGAGTAGGACCGTAATCCTTGACGGACTGGAATACTGTGGACGGATAATCCGAGTTAGAGAAAGAAAAAAATTATCATCAGATCCGGTTCATAGGAGAAGAGGAATCCGGCCCAATCTCTTTCTTTGCCTTTGATGGCAAAAAAAAAGGGGGGAGGGGATTACCAGCGAAGCTGCCACAACGCCGCCGCCGGACCGCCTTGCCCCGGCGCTCGCGGCCAGGACACCCTGTCGCCGCTGGATCCGTGCGCTAAGTGGATTCAGGCGTTGAAGCGCGATTGGGGTACCCTGCCGCCGCTGGGCCAGGACACCCTGCCGCCGCTGCTCATGTGTTGGAAGGATTAGGGTTGGGGACGCGCAAGCGGCGGCCGCCGCCCAGAGTCAGAGGGAAGGGGAGAACTGAAACTACCGCCGAGGGGACGTACTACACCCAGCGCCGTTGATCTACATCCGACGACACTCGCTACCAGCGCCACTTTCACTCGCATGGACACGAAAACAAGCAGCCCATGCGGCCCAGTACGCCCAGAAGGCCAGAACTCCCCGTGACGGAGGCTATGGAGGGGGCGGAGCAAGCCACTGCCCCGTGACGCGCCGAAGCAAGCATCGTCGCGCCGTCGAGCTTTCGAGGCCACTAATCCAACGCCGTTGGCTACTCAGGCTCTAGACAACGCCGTTCCCTGCTACTTCTTTTGTATTAATATTTATCAGTTTTAGTTGGACAGATCCAGCAGAGGAAGTAACGCAGCAGAGACAAAGCCAAATTTGTAATTGATGTAAATCAAAAGTAATGTGTAATGAATAGTGTGAGTGGATTTAAATTCAGTTTGCAATGTGATTTGAGAGTGGAGTTGAGTGAATAGTTTGCCTTAATTTTTGTTTGGTTGTTGAGTTTATTTGACTGAATGTTTGAGTTGAGAGTGGAGTTGAGCGATTCCAGGACTACAAAGACCAACAAGTCACAATCCTTGATTTGGCTGTTGAATGTACAATTACCATAAAAGTGACACTTGAACAGAGGCCTTGCATATAGAACTTGCAGGTGCATCGAACAAAATAGATGCCAAAACAGGGTAATATATCTCTGGGATATATGGCTGGAGATTGAGCATTATAATTGCTACTTGTAGTGAAGTTCGACTTGTACATGTGCATAATTAGACCAAAGCAAATGGCAAAATGTTGTCTAGAACTAAACTTGGACTTGAAAAGATCATCTGTAATTGCCCATCAATTCTTGTTTGCTCTCTCATTCATTTGCCCAAAAACAACAGTACTTCACCATGAGCCAGTGAAAAGATCATCTGTAGTTGGCCCCTGAAAGTTAAATAAATAAGAATACCATATGAGCAAGATTTTACCATCAACAACTGAGTGAAGCTAAGGCTGGTCTTGTAACCTTCAGGCACCTCCGCATTATCCCTATAAACTCTATCATTTGCAACTTGTGCACCACCACCACCTGCCACTTCCCCCACCTCTTGTATCTTGTTGTGAATTAAAATTGGAGGCCGTGAGAATTAATGGACATAATGATAACAACGAAAGCACTCTATAGTTTAGCAACATGCATATTCACCCAACTGTGATGTAGCTCTGCTTTCTCTCCTTTCCCTAGCCTTGTGCTTCTTATCGAGCCAAATTTATTTTCGTTTTGAACTCTTTGTTTGGACCTCCTTTTTCTTTAGACGTGCATTAGGCAACAAGTCATTTGGCGGCCTAGCATCTGTCGGAATTGTACATGGATACCCGGATGTGCTTGCACATGCATTAATGTTTTCTTCAATTTGTTTACCAAGGACGTCAAGTGTGTCGTCTACTATCACGACACATTCCCAAAAGTAGGCCGCTCAATCTACCAAATTATGAAATTTGTGGGACATATATTTGTAGCTAAGCATGGCATCCATATTCGGATTTAAGATGATATTTCTTCCTTCCTTGTCTTGTACAGTTCCACTCCGTGCTTCCTTTGTCCGGCGCTTTAACACACATAATGTGGCGGTAGTGACTTGATATTCATCAAATCGAGAACTTTAAGAACATGGCCACACAATATCCCAATTCTATCAAATTGCCGACAGCAGCACACAACTGTTTGCTTCAAAGGATCACTGATAACTTTATACTCCTCCTCAAAGATACAATCTCCTACTAGATATTCATTACAACCATCTAATGCGTTGGTACAAACTCACAAGGATATTTCATATTCACCTTGAAAAGCTTCAAAAATACCAGATGTATATAACTTGCTAGCTTGCACCAACATAGGTCTCCTCATAAATATTCTAGGCAACCTTTTCCTTGATTCAAATTCTGAATTCAGTTCATTGTTCCTTTTTCCCTTGCACCACCCTTTCAAAATGCTTAAAGAACCGGACGATGTCAATATCAGATTTGAAATGGAATTTCAAGTTATTATTCAAGCTCTCACTCAATTGTGTACTTCTCATTCCTAATGTGAAGATATCCTTCATATAATATTCAGCCCATTTTTCCTTTAACTTATATATATACTATCCAACCAAGTTTGCTTGCTCATCTTTTTCCTTATGAGGTCAATTTTGTGTTCAAATTCTGCCATGTCTTCATACTCAAACATGCACGCGCTAAAATCTGATAGAATACTTATTTCTTGATTCTCCTCTTTTTCCTTCTCTTCATTCTCTTCTTTTTTCCTTCTCTTGCTTCTTATGTTTTTTCTTCCCTTTTTTCTTCTCCCCATTTTTCTCTTCATCATTCTCTTCATGTAGATGTTTGACATCATTCTGCATAATGTGAAAGGTGCATAAACCATGTCGTGCTTCTGCAAACACGTCCTCAACTGCATTTCCCATTGCGGTCTGATGGTTGATGGACGGTGCCAAGCAAAGGACGTGCCTCTGACTTGGAATCGCTGAGTCAGAGGATCGCGTTCCCGTTCCATTAGGGTTAGGGTGAGAGTAAGCACTTTTCGGCAACGTCCTAACTTCCTGGTGTCTTCGCAACGTCATTTTTAAGCGACCTTCGCAATGTCATTTCTTTCTTAGATTTCGCATTTATCTTTTGCTCTGGTTCGCCCGATCGCATTTGGGAAAAAAGAAAAAAAATGAAATAATTCGCAAAGAAAAAAGTTCGTGAATTCAAAAAAAATCCACTGATTTTGAAAAAAAACATGAAATGAAAAAAAGTTCATCGACTTTAAAAAAAGTTCATCCAATTTTACAAAAATTCATAGAATTTGAAAAAAAATCATTGAACTTGAAAAAGTTTCATCAAATTTGAAAAAAAGTTCATTGAATTTTACAAAAATTGAAATAGTTCATCTAATTTTAAAAAGGTCATCAATTTTGGAAAAAAATCAAGACTTTTTTTTGGAAAAGAACAAACCGAACTGTAGAACGAAACAAAAGAACAGGGCAAGCAACCACCAGTTCCATTTAAAAAAATTCACAAATATGAAAGTGATCACAATTTTCAAATATTGATCACAATTTCAAATAATGTTCTTGTTTTCAATTTTGTTCCTTTTTTATTCACAAAAACTGTTTGTGCTTTTGAAAATTTGTTCCCATTATCAAATTTTTGTTCTCAAAATTCTATAAATGTTAGGGTTTTCGGAAAATGTTCACGAATTTCAAAAACCAATCTATCGAAAAATGTGCACGTCTCTTGTTTTATCTTTCTGAAATTTGAAAATATGTCCGAGTTGGTAATTTTTTATCGCATTTTGATACACTGCCCGTTTGTTAAAAAAAATCACAATTTCGAAGGAAAAATTCAAAAAATTCAAAAAACTGTCCAGATTCTTCATTGTATTAGTTCTTATACCAGCACGCTTCATATTTAGCATGAAGGCTTGTTAGGTCTACTGGGTAGCTCCTCTCGTATGCAACATGGAGATCCAGAAATCGAATCTTGGCAGCACTTTTTAGGCTTGCTTTTTTTCACATTAACATCGCAGCGCTACTGTACAAGCAGGCGCGCCCGCTATTGGGCCGGCCCAGTCAGGGTTCCGTGCGTGCGTCGCACGGCTGTTTGACGCAGCAGAATACGTCTAATAGGAGCTCTCCGCTGATTCGATCTTGTGCACCTTTTTTTGAAAAAAGTTAATGGGAAAAAAGAGAGAATGGGCCAACCCAGAGCGGATCAGTATGTGCGCCTGTTAGCGAATTTAGCACCTCAAGCGTTGAATAGGATAGGGTACTCCAAAACCACTGGTTTTGCCAAAAATAACACAAAATACCACCACCTTCATGGCAATAACAAATCGCACTAATTCCAAACTGAGCCGTGTCTATAGAATGGGTCGGCCCAGAGCGGAGCAGAATGTGCGCCCGTTAGCGAATTTCAAAGAAACTAGCATCTGAAGCGCTGAATAAGATATGCCCATACCGAACTAGTCGTCTGGTGGAGAGTAAATTGCTCAAAACCACCATATTTTAGGCTTGCTTTTTTTTCACATTAACATCGCAGCGCTACTGTACAAGCAGGCGCGCCCGCTATTGGGCCGGCCCAGTCAGGGTTCCGTGCGTGCGTCGCACGGCTGTTTGACGCAGCAGAATACGTCTAATAGGAGCTCTCCGCTGATTCGATCTTGTGCACCTTTTTTTGAAAAAAGTTAATGGGAAAAAAGAGAGAATGGGCCAACCCAGAGCGGATCAGTATGTGCGCCTGTTAGCGAATTTAGCACCTCAAGCGTTGAATAGGATAGGGTACTCCAAAACCACTGGTTTTGCCAAAAATAACACAAAATACCACCACCTTCATGGCAATAACAAATCGCACTAATTCCAAACTGAGCCGTGTCTATAGAATGGGTCGGCCCAGAGCGGAGCAGAATGTGCGCCCGTTAGCGAATTTCAAAGAAACTAGCATCTGAAGCGCTGAATAAGATA